TTTGTCATTTTAATTTAATATTACTAAATTGTATATGGATAATAATTGATTTCGATACTAGTAGTTAAGACTGTTCAAATAGGAATAAAGGCAATAACGCAATTGGTAATCATTAAAATGTTGTAATATACACAATTTAGACAAATTTTTACTTTCACAAACTATCGATAAAACTGTCGACAATTACTACACGACTATTTTAAATTTTATAACAACAGGCAACCCCGCAAATGTAATTTTACTCTATCTTAAAAAAAAAGACAGACTATAGTGCGTGTCGTCCGTTAGATGGCGTTACTGATATTTATTATCGATATTGAACGTCAATGGAACAAGAGGCATTATTAAAAACGTCGATTCTGAAATGCCATTCTCCTAGCTCTATTTTGTATTTCCTGCAACACGCTGAGCAACGATGGATTTGAAATAATGTTATCCATCAATCGTTGATTATAATGATGGTAAAAAGGTTCAGAGCTCATGTCGAAGATCATAGGTCTGTTTGGGTTCACCTCCTGCGCCCTATGCACGTCTTCCCTAAGTTGAGTTGGCAGAACCATCATCCACGGTTGAAATAAGTTTTGAGACATATGAGTGCCGGTGTCGATTCTTCGGAAATAATTAGTTCGTTCAATTGTCACGTTGGAGTTGCCCGAGGAGTCCAGGATTCGCGAGAACTGCTGGCTGTTTCGATCATTCATGGTCTGTATGCGGCGTAATTCTGTGAACCGTGTTACGACCAATCTCAAGTCTAAAAACGGTCTTTCTATTGGTAATCGGTTTATTGCATTCTGCAAAGCAATTAGCCGTTCCGATCGTAGACTTTCGTGGACAACAACTCGACGCGTTTGTTGCAGTGGAAGGTCTAATATGTGAGAACGTTCATGTTCCGGTTCCTTTGGATCGTTGCTTTCCTTTACAACGTACTGCATGAACTCCTTGAATTGTTCATTTTGATTGGAGAAAAATAGTTCCAAAACTTTTAAAGTGCTGTCCACACAAGCGCTCAGCGGTAGTTTCAAAAAGAACGAAGTCAAAAAACCTGCATCGATGGCTTCTAACGGATTAACATACTTATTTGTTTTATTCCGCTTTTTCAAATTCGGAAAATCAACAACTCTAGGTCCGTTTTCGTGAGACAATATCGGTCGAGAACGTTGTTGATTCGGACCTGTAGGTTGTTGATTCTGACGTGAACGTTGTTGATTTATGCCTCCACGTTGTTGACCGGGTCGTGAACGTTGCTGGTTCAAACCTGTAGATTGTTGGTTGGGTCGTGAACGTTGTTGGTTTTGATTTAAGCGTTGTTGGTTTTGATTTAAGCGTTGTTGGTTTTGTTGTGGACGTTGTTGGTTTGTACCTGTACGTTGTTGATTGGGTCGTGAACGTTGTTGATTTGGACCTGCAGGCTGCTGATACGACCTTGAACGTTGTAGATTTGCTCGATGAAGGTACAGTCGGGAACGCAGTTGACTTGTTCGCGATTCTTTCAAGTTTGGGAAGTCAATGATGCGGGGTCCGTGTTCGAAGGATATTATCGGACCGGTGAACTTGAATTCAGACTTCGGCTTTGAATTCGGTTCGGGTATGTAGTGAGGGTTCAAGTGCGGTGGTCGCGGTTGGAACTCCGGATGGGAAGTTATATTCGTTGGTACCGTAACAGGATGCGCAAATACTCGTTCAGGTTCCGTTCGATCGGACTCTCTCGGTCGCTGATCTGGATGTGAACGTCGCAGAGTCGATTCTGCAGGTTGCACGGGTCCTGTCGAACGGTTCTCATTCGATCCGGGATGATCGTCTTCAATTTCAATTACACGTGGACCATCAGCGTCCAGCAGATCGAATATATTCAGAGCTGTCGATTTACAGCGGAAGGGACGTCCCAGGGGACGCAGCGGCGGACTTAGATTTTGGTGAGGTGCACGAGAAACGCCTACGGCTTCGTTTGTGTCAACGACGCGAAGTCCAGCGCGCCGAGAGAGGCGGGCGTCGATCGCCGGGGCCGGCCGGTGGTCGTTGTTGTGGCGGAAGGTGCCCTGGAAGTGGTCGACCTGCGCGGGCAGGCGCAGGCCCAGGGACAGGTACAGGTCGGTGGCGCGGGGCTGGACGGCGTCGTACTCGCTGAAGCAGCGGCGGGCGGCCCGGGGGGGCCGGGGCGCCTGCTACAAGGCGTGCGCCGGCGAGTACAGGTCGGGCTCCAGGCGGCGCACGCGCACGCGCTGCCGGTAGTGGTACTCCTTCAGGTAGGCGCGCAGCCGGGCCGGCAGCGGCAGTTTCTCCACACCTGTTCAGCGGACACGTTACGGTTTTTGTAATCACGTTTCTACTTTATTTCAGAATTTTTTTATTTTTTTAACTGCCTCCGTGGCCGAACGGTTACCATGCCGGACTGCCACGTAGAGGTCCCAGGTTCGATTCCCGGGCCGGGAGAAATATTTGTATGACCTACATTTGTTTCTATCGTGAGTTTGGGTGTAATTTGTGGTTGTCTATGTGTGTGTCCATGGCACCCGCGACACAGGGTTTCCCTAGTGCGGGGTTATGTTGAGTGTGTGCGTTATTATTATGTTATTATTATTAACGAAGTTAAAGCCATTTCAAAAATGACACACTACATGTGTTCTAATTAGTTCAGTTGATATAAAAAAATATATCTTTGGTATATGTAATGTCACCTATTGAATACAACGGTTTTTTTGTAAAATTTAAGAGGTAAGTTTGTGCTTTTTTAATATCGTGAAAATTTTTAGAAATCGTGTTTTCACACGGTGTATACCCTCACTTTTACTATATATTTTTTTGCAAGGTGATTGATTCAACAGTTTCACTGTTTGCGGAATCAACCAAAGCCATTTCAGGTTGTATAGACTTTAAAGACTATGACACCCGCTTGTCTAAAAAATGACTATACATTCCAGCCTTGAGGAGCCCCAAATTGCCGTACAAAGGGCCAACGTGGAGCAGGACACTGACCGTCATAGGTGGTGTGCGAGACGATGACGGCCCTGGCGAGCTGCTGCAGCGCGAAGGGCTGCGTGCGCGGCAGAGGCGCCGTCAGCATCGGCTCGAAGAACATCACGCACGCCGGGTCCTGGTCACATTACCGTAACATTACTATTTTATACTTAACTAACTATATGAGCTGTGTCAGTTAATATTTCTTAATAAATTCTGTATGCGAGTCAAAAGAGCTCGACGACAATTGACACAGTACCTTTTAGTACTCGATACGCCCGACTCAGTATAAAGTGCTCTATAATTATTTTCTAACAGTGCTCCAGTTCAATACTTTTTAATACTCGATAAATCCGACCAGTACCTTTTAGTACTCGATAAACCCGATTAAGTACTTTGTAGCGCTCGATAAGTGCCGATTCGATAGTTTTTAGTGCTCCATAAACCCCGACTCAGTACTTTAAGTACTCGATAAGTCCTGACTCAGTACCTTTTAATATTCGGTAAACCCGACCAGTTAAGTCGAGTACTAAAAGGTACTCTTTTAGTACTCGACTCGACAAGTTCCGACTCTACTGAGTTTTACTTTTTAGTACTCGATAAGCCCGACTCAGTATCTTTTAGTACTCGATAAGCTCCGATTCAGTACCTTGTAGTGCTCAATGAGCCCGGTGACTGTGGGCGCGGCGAAGACGGCAGGGTCATGGGAGTCGAACGAGAATCGATGCTGGTAGTGCTCGATGCGAGCGTGCAGCGACCGCCCGTACTTGCGGAACGACACCGAGAACAGGTGCTCTTCTTGGGCAGAATCACGGAGGAGGAACGTGCCTGGAATTGCAAAATAATTATCAGCTATTGCCCATACTGTCCCATGGTGAAATTACAGGCACATGGGACTTGTTAACTTATGTCTCAGGGTGACACTGCAACTGTTATGGACAGGCGTGTAGCTTACCATTCGTCCCGTCACTTGATATTATTAAAACAAAACCTATTCCTGACTTATACTTAAAAAGTTTATTTCTCGAATTGGTTCTACAGTCTAAAGTTACAAGCACTACACAAAATAAATTCTATTCTGTGTTAAAAAGAATAATAAATAATAATTAATTCACAAAAAACAGTGATAGACATTACGTTAATACGAGGAATAAACATAATATGGTTGTTCTTATCGAATTCTAAGGTGTTCGCGATTGTCTTGTCAGTGACTTTGACATTGACACGGTCGTCAACCGTGGCCATGGGACCTGAGAGCCCGAAACGTTGGTTTGTTTGAAAAAACAAATACACGCGATTTAAATCCGGAATAGTTTCATTTCCTATGGTTGTTCTTGAAAGTCGTCTTCACGAAATCACAAATTCATTTAAAGGGCAATGTATATCGACCGCTCCTACGTAAACTATCGTATGTCGAAATTGCCAAGTTTAAGGGGAGCGTTTTAAAGTTTTGAATTCACTGTAATGAGCATAACACGTGACTTTAGCATTTCACAGTTTTATTCGGGATAACACGTTACTTTAAAACTCATTCTCGAATAAAACTGAGAAATGCTAAATTTACGTGTTATGCACATTTCAGTGAATTCAGAACTTTAAAACGCTCCCTTGTAAACTTGGCAAGTTGGACATACGATACTTTACGTAGGAGGGATCGATATGCTTCTATCACAAGTTTTCAGCTGATATTCAAAATTTGCCATTTACGAGGTATAAAATTAAAGTGTCTGGGGATTAAGTATGTCGAAATTTCCACCTACCTTCTGGTTTGTTATCCAGAAGCCTTTCAGCCTCGTACCGGTCCATCTTGCCCCAATAATACGAGCATGCTGTAATCTCTTGAAGATCTGGAACTAGGCAGTGGATGTAGTCCACCTGTAAAACATTTTTATATCATTATTATGAGTGCCTCTATTATGACCAGAGATCGAAATTAGGGTTTGCAATATTTGCCCACTTTTGGTATACGGATGATTCGAATAATATATTTTTTTTTTATCCAAATATATTAACAACATCGGTTTTCAAAAATAGACTACAAATCTTCTTGTTATTACAAAAATAAAAATAATCATTTGATATTGTACAATAATATGCAAATTATTTTAACATATAAAATATTAATGATATTGTAAAAAAAAATTTTTTTTTTATATTAGGGTCGTAACAGTCATTCATCGTAACAGTAAGTATAGGGCATGAACAATTTAATCATAAAAGAATTGGGAAAATATGAGAATGGCCGTGACTTAAATTCCACTTATGAAATTTTGCATCCCTGTTGTGTTACGATTTCGAATTATATCCGTACACAAAACAGTTTATTATATATAAATAACTCGATGAACGTATTCAATAAAATTTTAAAACACGCACAACAACGAAACTTAAACTAAATAAGGTATAAAAATACTGCTTATAGGCGGTTGTAGATCACGTTTAGCTCATTGCACATGAATTAATAACTAAAATTTGATTGTTTGTTATGATAAAGAGGGCAGAATACACGGGGTGAATAATACCACCCTTTGTAATCCCGTGTACGATATAAAAATAATATTAATTCTTTATTTAAACAGAAACGTTACATTTGATTGTAAGGCCCTGGCTTCTGAGCTAGGTTCAATGACCTGTGTTACGGAAATCTGCGTCTTCTCTTTTTAATAATTAGTTACACTTATTTATTTCTGGTAGTTTACATACCTACCATTACGTATTATATAGTAGTTTATATGACTGTTACATAATGAAAGGCATTAAAACACGAGTGTGGGTTTCATAAAAACATCACACGAGTGTTTTAATGCCTAATTATGTACAGTTACATACACTACTTTATCTTTACATATATTATAAGCTCTCTATGATGTGTTCAGGAACCGCATGTCACGACTGGCGAAATGGCGGCAAATAAAAAGTTTTCTCACCTATGTCATGCAGCCGTTTTTTTTTTATTCATAGACAAACTGGAGTCGGCCCCAACTATCGATTTCGACAAGTAACGTGTGAAATTTGTTAAAATAGTTTGCTATTCACAATTCATTTCGAATAAAACTTCACCTCGTCTGATATTAGAATTGAGGTCCAATTAAATTGGTTTTGTTTTTCAGAGATGTTCGAAATTTGGATGTAATAATAAAATCGAATTCGATGTTATTATGAAGCCATAATAACATTTTCATAGATAAGAAATTTGTTCTAACAAAACAGTTTCTCTTTATGCTGGTCGTAATGTGTGGTTTTTGAACACATCATAAAGGGTTTATGATACGTGTGTAGATAAAGTATTTATTTTTACTGAAGAAGCAATTCAATTTGATCATAATCAAGAGCCAGAAGGAAATGTGTAATTTTATATTTCGTCTCACGATATGAATGAGACAGATGCACTATTGATAAAGGGTGCAGTAGCAGTGATCATAGGATCTTTGCAATTTAAAGCTCTGAATGGCACTGGAATTGTTGTGGGTAGACGTACCGATTGCCACCAGGCAAAAAATAATAATCTCGACTGTTTTTATCAAGTAAGGCAGACGCACCTGCGTGTGTACTTTTCCGTGTGGCGGCATGGCCTGCGCAGGCGCCGCGGGCAGCGACGGCGCGCGCAACAGCAGTGCGCGCAGCTCTCCGCCGCATACCACCTGGAATATACCATAAATACACTTAGCTAATCACACTTAGTGTCTCGCACATTGAAAGCAACACTGTCACTAAACGAAAAATCGCTCTTGCGAAACAAGGATTTCTGGAAATAAGTTTAAATCTGAAAACTGAGATTTTCGTTCGGTAATGGTGTTGATTTCGACGTGGGATATAATCTCTTTTGCCACTCCACTTTCATTCATACGTCCACAGGCCTACCGTCTATCAGTCGGTCCCTGGGAGTCCGAAACAACATCCGTCCGAAACAATAAACAAACATTAATTGGGAATTTTTATTCCCTTTTTTTTACCACCCGGCAACTACTGGGATATTATCAGATCTTGTGCTATGAGAAATATGTATAAATGTTCTGTGTCTCACGAACTACACACTTCTAATATAAGTACATATTTAGTAATGTAAGTACATAGTTAATTAAGTATATATAAAATTAATAATTAGATTGCAATACCCTAACAGGGTCTATGTTCATACGGTATAACAATCTCCGTACTAATGATGAAATAAAGAAATAAATATTTGAAATTCCATTTGTCGCTAGTGACATCTGGTAACATAATGGGTTTTCTTTTCCCCATTTGTCGCCAGTGGGAATAAGCCGAAAAATCTTGTTTAAATTATCCCGTGTACAGCGCGACATAATTGTGACGTAAACTATCCCTCCTCCCGCAACGCGCAGCTACCTCAGGTACCGACTCGGTTAAGCGGCAGGCCAGTAGATAGCCAACAAAGTAGGTACCTGGAAGTGTGGATGCAATCGAATAGACCCATCATTCTGCTGAGTGAGCTCGTTGCGGCTGCCAGTGTGTGAAGCTTCGCCTTCAGCTCTGCAAAAGATCATAACTCATTTTTTAAATTATATGTAATGGCGGCACTGTACATGGCTACTTGTATTCGCTATTGACGTATTTCGAAAAATATTTGACGTACAGACAAACAAGCAAACGCTGACAAATATGACCGTCTACACACGGTGCCCAATAAGGAGTTTAAATAATGAATGTCTTTTTTATTTTTTTTTATAATGTGACGGGATGAACAAGTCGTGCGCCTGATGGTAAGCTACATGCCTGTCCATGACAGTTGCAGTGTCACTCGAGCTTAAAGCTCTTGTAAGATCTGAGGGGCACTGCCACTGCTCCAGTCACCCTAAGACATAAGTTGACAAGTTCCATGTGCCTGCAATTTCACCAGAACCCCTTATCCTTCAAAACCGGAACACAATAATGCTGACATTGCTGCTTGGCGGCAGAAATAGGAAAGGTGGCAGTACTTCCCAGGACGAATTCTTTCACAAAATGTACATCCTTACTGAATCTATCTCCACCAATCTACTAAAAAAGGCGAAAAGTAGACACATGTGAACGGTTTGTGACCTGGATTACAATTTGTCGACCGCATACTTTTTTTTAGTAAATAAGTGCGCATTTGACATCTATCCCACTTGATAGAATGCACACTTAAATAGTGCCTATTCAATCTCACCTTGAAAAGGCCCAAGTTATAGCGTTCGAGGAACAAGTCTGCAGGAAGGAAATTCTACTCCTTTGCCGTTAGCCATGTAAATCCACAACATAGGCGCGGAACCCCAGTCACGATGCTGGCATGGGGAAGGCGGCATGAAGAAGGCGAATTTAATCATGCAATTCCATAGCAAACTCTCCGTGATATATCAAGTTCTTCTTCTTAGTGTGCCGCTCTACGAAGGTTGGCGAAAGAGGGAACATGTGCCAAGGTGGAACCAGTCTCTGAAACCACGAGGTTTTTCTTCTGCCACAACTACGCTTTCATTGTATTTTTCCATGCATTATTATAGTTGAAGAATCCTGTATCTATTGCCCCTTATTACGAATGCCAAGCATACGTCTGTACAGCCACATATCAAAGGACTCCAGTTGTGAGGATAATGTTGGGTTCAGGGTCCAACATTCCATACCAAACAGCATGATACTTATTGACTAAAATAACGGATAATTCACGTATTTAAGTCGAATTTTTTATCGACACGTTTCAAACCAATTCGTGGTCCTTAATCGTGAGATTCCGCGTCGAAACTCGACGGAAATTGCGCGTTAAAGTCCTAGCAGCCCGATCACTCTGTACAGCTGCGGGTGCAGTCGGCGTTGGCGAGAAACTACCCTCGATTGCTTTGTTTTACGTAACAACGTCGCTTTCTAAAGTCTCGTCTACACTAACCACTGATGTAGTGCGTCGACTCCGAATAAGCAAGATTCTTATATATCGATCAGCCCTACGTAAAGTATCGTATGTCGAAGTTGCCAAGTTTGCAGGGGCGCCTTTTAAAGTTCTGAATTCACTGAAATAAGCACAACACGTGCTTTTAGTATTTGTCAGTTTTATTCGGCAAAGTCGTTACTCACATAGAGTATTATAAAATCCTAGATTTCGGTTAGATGATGTGTGATCATCTATTAAATGATCACTCTATGTGAGTAACGAGCTTTGCCGAATAAAACGGAGATCTTTAAAAGGCTCCCCTGTAAACTTGGCAATTTCGACTTACGATACTTTACGTAGGAGCGGTCGATATATCAAGTAGAAAACCGATAAACAAGCAACTTTTGCAGGCAAGTTGTTTGTGTAATTGGGGTGTACATTTATTAGTGATCTTTCAAAATTGAAAACTTATAGGCATTGAACTAAGAACACTCTCTTATAGGCCATATGAAGGCAGTTAAAATCTATGAAAAGTGAAGAATGTATAGTGGATTGTTACACTTACGGTCTTGCAGCTACTGATAGCACGTACACCTCAGCGGTCGGGTCGCCAATGTCCCTTGTTGAGTCGCCGTCTGTAAACGAACAATGACATATTTTTTTCTAGGAGACGTGAGTTCGAATCCGGCGAGATCGAAGGAATTTTTTCAAAGCGTTCGATCTTTGTATTATTAATTATATCAAACTAGTGGTAGTAATTTCATAAAAAATAATTGAATATCAATTCAATAAAAATTTAATTACAGTTAATAGGGACATCTCTACCCAGGGCTGGTAGCTGTAAAGTTACCTAATTGGGTGACGAAATATTTTCATAGATTTTTCATAGGTGGCGCTACGGCTAAAAATCGTTGAAAACCAAATACAAAAGATCCGACAAAAAACACAAAGAAGAATTCCTGAGGCCCACTAGTTCGTTCCGAAGTGTTCGTCTTTCTTCATCTTTATATTAATAATTATGACAGTTTAAAAGATCTCTGTCTAACAAGCGCAACACTATGTAACTTTACTTACCTGCTCTCAAAATCGGAGTAAGACCTATAATTAACAATTATTTATTGGTGAGAACTTTAAAAACTATAACTTAATAATTTAGTAAAAAAACTTCATCACACTTGCTTGATAGCATGAGTAATAAAACCCTCGGGCCTTTTTTGTTCCCATAACAGCCATGGTCGGTAAGGAGTTTTTTTTAATTTATAGCACGATATACTTACATAAGTCAGGTGCAGGTTGAAGCAAGGAGGTTAATTAAGTTCAAAATTAAAACATTCAAAAGTACATAGGAAATGAAACTATTTTTCCGGATTTAAATCGCGTATATTTGTTTTTTCAAACAAACCGACGTTTCGGGCCCTTTACAGGTCCCATGGTCACGGTTGACTGGCAGATACGCGATTTAAATCCGGAAAAATAGTTTCATTTCCTATGTGTAACAATCGCGAAAACCTAAGAACTCGATATTCAAAAGTACAGTAAAAAAAAAAAAACAAAACTCGAGATATTAAGTCCCTCAGCCTTCTTCCTTCTTCTTAATTTCTTATTTACCGTCTTTAATACACAATGTATTATTTCATCACACTTCTACGTAAATAATATGATTGTACGCAGTCTAACTTGACTATAATGCTTTAAATAATACGATCGGGCCGTTTTTCTTCTTATTACACGACCATGGCTGTATGGATGGATGGTTTCAACTCTAATTAGAAAATAAGTTTCCACCATCCCTCTACACTCAACAAGTTAAAATACCAAAAAGTACCTAGTATCTCGACTCGCGCGAGAGATTAGGCGAATTCAACTCTGCTGGACAAGGTCTTAGTTAAAATTACCTGTATTCAAGACGAAAGCGTCAAGTTCCCTGCGCAGGTCTCGCGTCAAATCCCGAGTGCCTATAGTAAGCACTGTAGCCAATCTGTAATACAAAAAAAAGATACATTTATTTTTTTATTAGGCTGAAAACTCATGTTGGTGGGAGGTTTTAAAAGATCGGACAGATATTGTCTTTGGTTGGTTTTGTGAGAGAATAGCTCGGGCGAGCCATATTAGGTAAGATAAGTTGAATTGTATTTAAATTTTTAAATATGTCTAGTTGTTGTAATTTTATATTCAATTTTAATTAAATAATCGTTGTAATATTGCTGTTTAATTTCCTCGCAATCGATATGAAAAGCAGAGTGTATAACTCGTTCATAAAACCCATTTTACCCTCGACTTAAGTATCCACTCGAGCCGCAGGCGAGGATACTCGTCTTGGGTAAAATGGAGCGTTTTATGCACTTGTTGTACAATCTACTATTTTTTGTGCAATTACTCCACTAGTTTGTTATAATTAGTAATACATAGATCCAACACACAGAAAAAAAATTAACCGCTAAAATGTCGTTGAAAAAACGAAATACAAAGATACGACGCAAGCACATAGAAAAATTCGTGAGGTCCGCTGGTTCGTTCCGTGGCTTAGTTGGTATAGCGTCTGGCACGGTATGCTAGAAGACGTCGGTTCGAATCCGGCCGGATCGAAGGAATTTTTTCTGAGTGTTCGATCTTTGAATTAATAATTATAACAAATAAGTTGAATTATGTTGTAATTCTGTTACTCATCTTAACTGCCTCTGTAGCCGAACGGTTACCATACTTGACAGCCACGCAGAGGTCTCGGTTCGATTCGCGGGCCGAGAGAAATATTTGTAAGGCCTACATTTATTTCTCTCTCTCACCTGGGTGTAATTTGTGGTACGTGTGTCCATGGCACCCGCGATACAGGGTTTCCCTAGTGAGGGACTATGGGTGTGAACGCGTTATAATTATCTATTGTTGATTGATTATACTGATAAATACTGTGAAAGTGACTTTTACCATGGGGTCCCAACTCATACAAAATATTTTTAGTACAAAAAAATAATCATAGATGCCGCCATGGATAGCCTGTTGGATATTAAGTAAGCGAAATTGGCAATTTAAGCCGTAGTTACGTAATTACAAGTAAAAACTAAAATATTTCATGATAAAAATGAATATTTTCTCTCAATCAACACATTTTTTAAAAGAAAAATACACAACTAATAGACTTTAACACAGCTATTGTTTATCAAGTCAACGCCATCTATGGCCCATACGCGCCGTCAGCTCTATTGATTTAGCTAATGGATTGTCATTTAGCTAATGCATTGTCATTTTATTTTGACCTGGTCACGCTAGATGGCCCTGATATTAAAAAACATAATAAACTACCTTCGCGTTTTGTTCCTCTATTTTGAAACGTTTCTTCAGTTTATTTATTTCTTAATTTTGTTTTATTTATTTTTTATTTTAAAGTTGTTAAATTAAATATCTAACAATATGAATGGTTTTAGTACTTAAAAACGTTTTTGATTATTTAATGATTTATTATTTTAAAACGTTGATTTTTTTATTGAATTGAACAAAACGCGCAATCGGTTGTTTACTTGTTTGTTTGTTTTGGAAGCGAAATTTTGCGAATTGACACGGATATTTTAAATGCTATATTAATTAAATACGACTAGTGCTTGAAATCTGGACTCCGACGAATCTCCCATACACTACGACTTTGCTTTGAAATCTGGACTCTGACGAATCTACCATACACGACGACTTGGCTACGGAAAACTTTACTGATCTCGGTTGCAACATCATCTGGGTTTCGTTGATTTTCGATTTAAACAAAACAAAATGTCACCGGTCAAATGTTCGTATTTTATGTGCAATTACACATTCAAACAAAGATCCATGTTTCGGTTCCCAATAAGCGATCCAGCCCGTTTAAAAGTTTGGATAAATAATTGCGGTAAGTCTTTCTGTATCATGTACCAGCTAAATATGTAATTGAAAAAAGTGTTGAAAAGCAGGTTTCAATGTAGGTTTTCAGATTTATTTAATTTTATTATTTCATTATAATGAATTAATTTTTGTTTTAGGTAACATGACCATAATGAATTACAATGAAAATATACTCCGTAACAGATACCTCTGTAGTGAGCATTTCGACAAAAAATGTATCCAAAATGAAAGTGGACTAAGAAAGAGGCTGTCGAAATTTGCAATACCTTTGCACTATAAAGATGATGAATGTAGCAGCAGGTCACATTCACCAGTTCCATCAACATCAAAAGGTAAACCTTTTGGTTTCAGTACCAACACTGTATTACTTGAGTGAACATGATGATGATGAATTACTTGAGAAAAAAAATTCATAAAAAAGTTATATGTATTCTTATACATAAATAATTTGTATTCTACTTCACTTGAAACTTCAATAATAAATGATGTTACATGGGATGGAAATCATTCCATCATCAGCGCATAACTTGATGATCATCATCGCATCAGCGCATAACTTGAATTTTAGCAAAGCCTTCTTCTGCTGTTACTATCAAAAGTAAAATGAACATATTAATTTGATAATGAACCATTTTTAATATATTGTTTTTTTTAATATAAATATGTAAGTGCGTATTTGACCTCTATCTCACCTGATGGCAAGTGCATGCACACCTAAATAATGCCTATTCACTCTCGCCTTGAAAAGGCACAAGTTATAATGTTCAGGGTACAAGTTTCTGGGAAGGGTATTCCACTCCATAGCCATTCGCTATATAAATGTGGAATCGTAACGCTTTGTGTCAATCTTTGGAATATCCACAACATATGGGTGGAACCTAAGCCTATGTCTAGTCCCCCGTGATGGAAAAGGAAAAATTAAATTGTGCCATTCCATTGCACACTCTCCATGGTATCTGCTAAAGTTTTCATCTTCATAAAATTTTAACTTATATTAAAATTTATACTTTATTTAGGCATTGTTATTATTCCGAGACTAGTGGGTTAAGTTAGTGAGTAAATGTGTTTGATTTATTTTTTTGTTTTAGTGCAAACTTCGTCACCTCTGAAAGTAATGACTCCTAAAAAGTTATATAGCAACAAAATGGTAAAAGAAAGGCTTCAACCCAAGTCACCTAGTGAAACCACAGTAGATTTTAGTACACCTAGAAGAAGAAAAAGGACTTCAGTTGATAATGATACACCAAGGTGTAAAAAATTAAAAATTAGTGTAAAAAATTCAAGTAAATTATTAAAAAAACAAAAAAATAAATATAATAGGCTAAAAAAGAATTTACTGAAAAAAAATTGTGTCAACTTAAAACACATAAATTTAAAGGAGATTTGGCGAAAGTGTTTACATGCATGCAATTTAAAAATAAAAGTAGACAATGGAATGAAGATGAAAAAATTTTTGCTTATCTTTATATTATAAGTCTCCAGCTACATATAAATATCTTTTAAAAGGAGGCCTGGTCCTAGCTGCTCCCACTATAATCCAAAATTGGCTCCAAGCTACAGATTGTCTGGCAGGTATTAATGAAGATGTTTTTCGTAATATTCAAATGAAATTTGCTGATCAACCAATTAAAGAAAAAGCCTGTGCTGTATGTTTTGATGAAATGAGTATCAAGACTGATTTGGAATATACAAAAAAATATGATTTGATTGAAGGATTTGAAAATTTTGGTGGTGGTGAGCATTCCTCCAAGGAAGCTAAGTATGCACTGGTGTTTGTTGCCAGAGGGATTTACATTAATTGGAAAATCCCTCTGGTATATTTCTTATCAAATCAGAATGTCATTGCTGAAAAGTTAATAATAATTATTAAATCCATAATTAATAAGTTATTTGTGATTGGATTATTGCCAAAAGTAATTATATGTGATCAAGCAACAACCAATGTCAAGGCAATCAAATCCTTGGGGGCAACAAAAGATGATCTTTTTTTTTTATTGAGAATCGCAAAATATTTTCGATCTATGATGTTCCTCATTTGATTAAAAATATAAGAAACAATTTACTTGATAATAATTACGATTTAAATGGCAATGAAATTTCGTTTGATGACATAATCAAGGTTTATAATATTGATAAAAGTAATAAAAGTAGTACACTTGAAGCCAAACAGTTTCCAAAAAATGAAAGTTAAGTTAGCCACACAAGTATTTAGTCGATCAGTAGCGGCCGCGATGGAGACGGCGATAGCCAGTGGAGAGCTGAAGAGTGACACCGTAAAGAATACAGTTGATTTTGTGAGAAATGTGAATGATTTGTTTGATTCATTAAATTCAAAATGTAAATTTGATAGAAATCCATTTAAATGCGCAATCACTGAAAACAAAGATTCTTTAGTTCATAAAACGTTAAGTAAAGGAAACGAAATGTTCAATCAATTGAAAAAAGTTACGATTTCCAAAAAAAAGGAGAAAAAATTGACGATTCCTCCCTGTTTTGAAGGCATACAGCAATCAATTAACGCTGTACTTCACTGTTTACTGAGGAATTTTCACAAGGCACTGAAGTCAAATTTCTTATGACAAATCGATTAAATCAAGATGTAATTGAAAATTTGTTTGGAATTTATAGAATGCGAGGTGGTTGTAACAGGAATCCAACATCAAAAAATTTAAGGTCCATGTTCCGATCAAATTTACTAAATAATTTAATCAAATTAGATAATACAAATTGTGAAATTGATCAAAGTCACTTTTTAAACACAGCTGAAGCTCAACAGCAAAATACACAACCTGAAATGTCATCATCGTCGACATTGACACACCCAATTGCTGGTCCATCATGTGCAGTCGCCTTGCCCGTTATTTCCTCCCCACCGGTTCAATCGTACACATCTCAAGGTAATCTAACCGTTATACCCCAAGAAATAACACTGGAAACTTGTTCTGTTGTGTATTTTGCTGGCTGGCTAGGCAAAGTGACAATAGATAAATTTGATTGCTCAATGTGTAAAGGAATTTTGATTAATAATGAAGTTGATTTGGCTGATAAGAAGCAATTGTTGTTGATTAATAAAACATATTCAAATTTGACAACACCAACACTTAAAGCCCCAACTGATTTTTTGTACTGCTTAGCAAATGAAATGCTTGATTTATTTAATAACAGCATCAATATGATCCACAAAACTGATTTGGTGGCAAATTTAATGAAAAGTGCTAAGTGCATTATAAACCTCCCAGATGATTACCATGATTACACTCATATTGATTTTTTAATAAACAAATTATTTGTAGTTAAAATTCACGATTATTGTAAATCAAGAAATAAATCATTTCAAGGACGAGCCAAATTAAGAATTCTCCAACATAAATAAGGAATTCAATGATGAATTGTTGAGCCCCGCATTCGGGAACATTTAAAAAAAGGTTTCGCTTATTGATTGTCAACTTGCTGCACTCGGCGATGGTCCTCGAGCCAGTGCGGTGACCAGGCTCTTGAGGTGTGGCATATTATATCTGCATTAGCTAAGCAATGGGGTCCACATATCAATAAATTATCGAAACGGCTTAGCTCTGCAGTGTACGCGATTAAAAAAATACGAAAACTGTCAGACGCCAAAACAGCTAGATTGGTTGAATTCATCTACTTTCACAGTTTAATGACATACCGCATTTTGCTTTGGGGTAATGCTGCCGACATTGACTTACGCCGATATTAATAGAACAGTATTTTTTTTATTCAAAATAGTGACAGACAACATTAACACGAGAAATAAAAATAAACTAGCTATTCTTGACAATTTTCTTTACAAAGTCATAAATTCATTTAAGGGGCAATGTATAAGCTTCAAAGGTTACTTTATTGTACAGCGTCTGCGTACTTGGATGACAAGAACCCGTGGTAGTGACCCGTTAAGCTCTTGCTGGTAGTCTCAATCTAAGATGTTTGAAATAAATATTGTAAATGTTAAAAGTATTCAAATGTATATTAAAAGAGTAGAGTAGAGTTTCTTGCTCATTCTTCTCGGGGGACTCTGCCTTACGAATGAGCAGTAGACTTTAATCAGTACGACGATTTCAAGCGTAATTTGCTTACTTATGAAATAAAGATGATTTGAATTTGTAATGAGAGTGATAATAAAACCGTTGCGCAGTGAACATGTTTTCTTTCAATAAGTCCACAATTCCCACATTTCTCATGGCGATCCAGGAGTATGCACTAATCTTTGTCCAGAGACCTGCCATTTTATGTTTTGACCTCTGGTCTCTTAGCAACTATTCGAAATCAGAGGTAAAAAAATGTTGGCGTCGCAAGCTTATCATACATATCCAGTACCTTGCCATCTGATTACGAAGTTGTTACGAGTCCAGGGGTAAATTGTAATTGTTTGATCACGCTATAGTCACAGACGTAAATTTGAAAATACCGAGACTGGCAGAAGTGCCATGTGATGTCGAGAGTCATTGATAATACCACAGATTTCTTACTGAACTACAGAGTTCACATTATGAGAGTGTGAGCGTGCTACAGTTCACTCTAATGTTTTAAAAAGTTAACTAAATAATACAATTGGTACGTACTAAAACATATGAAATTTCTGTTATATAATATATGCCCTAAAATATTATCTTCTTCCTAACTTTAATTTACTGAGATATTTGACTTCAAGAACAAGGGTAAAATATTGTGTCACACACCGCCACCGTCTAGGTAGGTAGTGTACCCAACTGATATCTTTTACATACATTATTTAATAAAAAGCAATAGTTTAGTAAAAACCAGTAACGTGGTTTTATTTCCGTACACAATATGTGACAGAACTTAGTATGTGGTTTTACGTAAGTATGTATCTACGTAAATTTTAAAGACGCAACAGGCCTAAGTTTAAATCTATTCATCGAATCAATCTAGCTAGTGATAAATGAAAACGCCATCTAGTTACTATGCAGGGTAATAAGCTTTCTACCTCCTACTTTGACGTCGCGTTATAGTCGCCATCTAGTGTACCTTAAACGAATCAAAATAGCTAGCGGAAGCTAAAAACTTAGCATGGACTCATTTTCTTGTATGGGACTGTGTATCTGTATATTCTGTAATCTGTGCTTTTACTCTACGTGGTAGGCTAATGACGTGATCTAACGCCTCTCAAGTAGAAGTCGTGGGTTCGAGTGCGGGCTTAAACCTCTGAGCTACGCTTACTCATCACTTCTAAAGTGTTTATTGTTCTGTAGGTGCGCTGGTGCCAACACGTATTGGAAGCCAAGACCCACTTCGGGTCGCTGAGCAAGTCAAAATCAAACAATCATTTATTCCATAGGTAAAATTTTTAACGTAATTTTTTTAAGCTAATGCTCGTTATCTACGCCGACCTCCCTGAGAAGAACGAGCAAGAAACTCTAGGGATTGCTCAAACTTAAATGCTATGGAATACTCTTTGAATCATAATTGTGTGGAATCAAGACTCGTGTTCTCTTTCCATACATCTTTAACTAACACGTATTCTATAATTTTGTAATAATATCACTTTTCAATTAAAATTCCGGAACCTTATTGTAAAAACGTACACAGTTCCCCAAAAAAGTCGTTTGCCTTAAACGAAATTCTGGTACCATGAGTTTGGACTTAAGTTCTAAGGTTCATATTATGGGATCATCTTGTTTGTTAATAAAATTAAGTATATTTTTACGAGCATATAAAATATTTCGAGAGAGTCACACAGATAGCCATGGAGCGTGTCATGCTCGGTATCAAGCTTATAGACCGTGTTCCCAATGTCCAGATCCGAAGTCGAACTAAGGTAAAGGACGTGGGGAACCGCATCACGAAGCTAAAGTGGAGCTGGGCAGGGCACTTGATACGGAGACATGATGACAGATGGAGTAAGGCGATAACTGAGTGGCGTCCAAGGACTGGATACAGGCGTCCAGCGGCGAGTCAGGCGGATGACATCGCAGGAATTGGGGGGAGAACCTGGATGAGATTGGCACGGGATCGTGGGGAGTGGCACAGAAACTTGGTGGCCTATACCCAGCAGTGGGTGAAGTCAGGCTGTATATAATGATGATGATAAAATATTTCAGTAAACGTACTGTGATGCCAGTTATGATACCAGTCTCAGCTAGCGGAGTAAGTAAGTATAAAGGTCGTTACCCACCTGTCATCAGACACGCGTCTGTACCCGGTGCACACGCAAGTGGGTCTGCGCCAGCGCCACTCGCGGCGTCGCCACTCGAACATGCCCACACCGCGACTCCGGGACGCTGTGCAGTTACATTCGCCGTGGCCTCTGGTAAAAATGAATAGTAGATTGTACAACAAGTGCATTAAACGCGCCATTGTAGGGCTAATGCTAACCGTAATGATCTCGGTGATAAACGACCCGGTCCAATCGGGTCCAATATCACTTTCAAATACGCTTGTACCTGCTCGGTCTTTAGAGGGAGCGATCCCAATTAGTTCATTCGGATAAAATAACTAATTCAGTCTTTTAGTTCCTTAGTTCAGTGGGATCTGGGAATTGGAAGGGAACAGGAACCGTTTCGGCCTTTCAAGGATACGGAATGAAATTATCCGATATGAAATTATTGTTTTCCCTCTTTGCTATTTTATTAATATTTTGATGGTACGAGTTGGCAAAGGTTCAATCGTGTATCTCACTCGAACTTGTACTAAAGGTCATGATAGTCCATTAATTGTCTCGTTCACTCCATTTCGCCTCGCGTCTATGGCCCCGTAAACAGATCCTATTCCGACTGAACTAAAAAGACCGTGCACAAGGAACTAGTTTCTTTCTTTTAATTACTTCCCTGGCGGAACTTTTCTAGGAGCTGCACTATTATTTTTACATGAGAATACTAATTGCACTGTTTCTCATTGCCTCTAAAATCTTAGTTAATCAATAAATAATAAAGGGCCTATAATTCCCAGAACATGAAATACAAACCTGTCGGTAATGGTTGTGACGTATCTGTGCACGGAAGTGGGCGCATCGTCGAGCCGCCGCCGATCCCAGCCGCCGCAGCCGCAGCTGCTGCCTGCTGAACAAGATATCATTGTTATTACGATTTATTGTGAAATAACTCTACCGTTTTAACATGATTAAAATTAGTATTTTATTAATCGTAAATTTTAGTTATTTTGAACTTTTACTTTTGACTAAATTATTAATATTTTATATTATGTATTTTGAATATTTAGACATCTCGATTTCGAAAATTTTAATGTACACCTCATATCAAAATCAAAATTATCTTTATTTCGTAGCTAAGCAAATTACACTTGAAATCGTAACATTTACACAATTTTTAAAACCATACCATCTTATCGTTTATATAATTCCTAACAGAATAATATCCTCTCCTTAGTACAGTTGGCTTTACATGATTTTTGAGCTTATCAAAGGAGAAGTCCAAAACAGCTTTTGTAATCTTATTATAATACTGAATTCCTTGCCCCACAAAAGAACCGAGAACCCTCTGAAGTCTTAACTTCGGTAAAACGAGCTTACATTTATGTCTAGTATTAAAATTATGTATGTCACTCCGTTTATTATTAATTATACAATACATTATTAAAACGCACAAAAAGTGATTTTTATTATCTCCAGTGTCAAGTCCTGTGTAGTGGCGAATTTAAGGATATTTCAATAAAACTTAGCAAATAGATTTAATAACACGTATTTTCGAGGTCGTTTTTTTTAGTACTCTGTACTGAGATTATCTTTGTCACTAACATAGCTTTTTAAGATAGTTTGTAAGATACTAACACTATTGGACTATACCATGTCGTTGTCTGAATAAATAATTATATTATTATTATTTGACTTCAACATTTAACAACTATTATTCTTACGCAGTTACTATTTCGATTAATGCTATGTGAATTTACATGTTTATAATTCAATCATACAAAAAGTACGTATTTTACGTACTTTGTACGGTATTTTTCGGCATTCTGCGCCACTAATGGCATCTACTAAGAGATTTTAAAACCTTCTTCGCTGCCGTCTAAAATCTCTTTCTAGATGTCACTAGTGGCGCAGAATGCCCGAAAAATTTTTAGGTTTTCGCATTTTCGCAATTGTTACACACAGGAAATGTAAAACCATGACCATGGGACCTGTAACGGGCCCGAAACGTTGGTTTGTTTAAAAAAAATCAAATACACCCAATTTAAATCCGGAAAAATAGTTTCATTTCCTAGTGTAGTTATTTGTAACTGCCTCCGTGGTCGAACGGTTACTATGCCGAATGCCACGCAGAGGTCCCAGGTTCGAGTCCGGGAGAAATATTTGTTGGCCTACATTTATTTCTCTCGTGAGTTTGGGTGTCATTTGTGGTTATCTATCTGTGTGTCCATGGCACCCGTGACACAGGGTTTTCCTAGTGCGGGGCTATGTAGAGTGTATGCGTTATTATTTTACAAAAAAAATTATACAATACATTTGAACAAAAAGCGACATCTACGTCAGTCTGAGGCACCTGTACAGGTGTTGGCTACGGTGAAGACGGTTCTAAAATCTGTCACTAGCGTCGCAGAATGCCCGAAAATCCTGTAAAAACATCTTAAAAAAAACACATAAGAAAATTTCGATAACTTTACCCATAGCTCACATATAATGTAAAGTTGTAACTTACATTTTTTGGAATTCTGTTGACCCATGGTGATGTGATTGGTCAACTATGGAAGGTTCGGCCGGCGAACCACCATCTGTAACAAAATACAAGTCACTTTTATGTTCACCCGTAGATTCGCACATTGTGATGGGGAAGTCAAAACTACTTTTGAAGGCGTTTTGTCAGAAATCAGAAACATTTATTGTATGATTTGGTAAAGTATACAGGTGTTACTTACAAGCGATTAAATCCACAATTCTTACCCAAGTCAGGCGTCTTAAAAATACAATTCAATTAAAATTTATTACAACTTGAATGTCAAAAATTAAAATTATAATTAAGTTAATTACACAATTGTCAAATATTTGATGTCTTTATACAAAAATCCTCAAGGTTGTAAAAAAACTTTATCAATTAAATTTTTATTGAATTGATATTCAATTCTTTTTTGTGAAATTATTCCACTAGTTTGTTATAATTATTAATACAAAGATAGAACACTTAGAAAAAATTCCTTCGATCCGGTCGGATTCGAACCGACGTCTTCTTGCATACCGTGCCAGACGCTATACCAACTAAGCCACGGAACAAACCAACGGACCTCACGAATTTTTCTATGTGCTTGCGTCGTGTCTTTGTATTTGTTGTGTTTTTTAACGACTTTTTAGTCGTAGCGCCATCTATGCGAAATCTATGAAAGATTTATTACCAAAATATACAACTATTTTTAAAGTGTAAAACACACTGAAGCGGATGGGGTCGGGCGCTAGCCGGGTCGGGAGCGCGGCAGTTGTAATTCCTTGTATTTATATGGACGACAACATACTACGTGCAGGCCCATAATTTTGTCATTGAAAAAAAAAAAACTGACTTCAAAAGTTTGCTTATCCACTTCATTCGTTTTCCATGGGATCCCCTCATCAGATTCTGATTTCTTGCTGACAACGTATAAAATTCTTTATACATTTTGTATTTTCTTGTCAGAAGTCACGGTGACGGTGATTTGTTGATTGCGTGTATTGTGTCAAGTGAAAAGTGCTTTTATTTGCGGAAAATAATTAGTAATTTGTGACAGCCGAAACGAATCCAGAACAGCATCAGGGCCACCTCGACAGTATACCCTTTCTAACAAAAAAAGAATTTTTAATACAGTTGCTCAAAACGTGGTATTTTTCGCACTACAAATCGTGCGGAAAGTTGGATTTCTCGCATTAGTGCTTTTTACTTTTCCAGTTTTTTTTAAATTTACTGTTGTTTTAAGTCTTAAACATAGAACTAAAGAGATTGTATATTTATTTCATATTTATGTGCTTTGTGACGTAAGTCATTCGTCATTACTATACTATATCTATGGAGAGACCGCATTTTTACACCTATGAAGTAAATGCTCCTTAGTAGCGATTATGTAGAAAATAAAGTAATATAAAATAGTAATTTTAATGTGGCTGAATACTGGCAACAGTTGCCATATTGAAAAAAGTCGGCCAAAAAAAGTACTAATTTTTTTCATCGCCTTTTTCACTAACTTTTTTAAATACTGTTTTATTTTACTTTCAATGTAGGTTTTTCGCAAATGTTATAAAAAACGTTGTTTGATACACATGCGGATTTGTCATTTTCACTTGTCTCGAGACTCGTGAATAATGACTAACTTTCCGCACTTGTATCAAAAATAACTATTTCAAAATTGATGCACTATTGATGGAGAAATTGGTGACACACAAATATGCCTATAAAATTTGAAGATTTCCTTCGATTTTCATGGGATCCCCTCATCAGATTTTAACTTGGTGACAATGGGACCATCACGAGAGTGCACCCTTTCAAACAAAAAAAAAGAATATTCTAAATCAATTAGCAATTGACGGAGATATCTGAAAACACACATACAGCCGAACATATAACCTCCTCATTTTTTTTGCTTATACTAGGGTAGTGTTGTTCTGAAGATCGGGTTTTCCGCCCGCTCGCACACACGGATTTACAACCCCCGTCCTCTCGACCCGAAACACGCCCGGTTCGCACCCGTTCCCTGTGTGTTTCACAAATTAATTAACAAGTTTAAAAACCCCAATTCATATCTAATTCTGTGTTACTTATCTAGTTCATTTTGTCAAATGTTTTCAATTGACGCCAATTAACAAACATCGTTAGCGTGGTCGAACTTTATGTCCGTTTGGAATACACAAGCTCATGTTGTTTGTGAAACAAGTCTCCATGCTTTGAGAGTAAGACCCCAGCTTTGGGTATCCAAACCTCTCGTTAGAGATCCGTGTCTTGCAGTAAGACATATCGATACCTTACAGGTAGCATAAAAGATCTGTAGTAGCAGTAGAGCTTGTGAAAGAGTTTGTCCAGGAAAATACTGCCACCTTACCAATTTCTGTCGCCAAGCAGTAATGTTAGCATTACTGTGTTCCGGTTTTGAAGTGTAAGGGTGCTGGTCAAATTACACAGAACTTGTTAACTTATGTCTCAAGCTGGATTTAAATACTAAAAGTTAAAAGAGATTAGCATTTTTACACTGACGTCACAGTACATTTACGAAATTGTTATTTTGTGTTACGAAAAACATTGACTTACAATTATATGGACGTCTTGTCCGCACTAAAACGTGTCCGAACTTATAGGGCGTTAAAATCGTATACAGAGCGTCATTTACGCTTTAGTCTTCGTTTGTTCGACTGACAGCGAAGCAAGCAAAATTAGACAGTACTGCGATGACATTACAATTTAAATTCAACGTTTTAGCTTTTTCATATTCCTTTACATGTCACTGCGTTTAAATAGGTTGACTTGGGACATTTTTTTCGTGGTTTTTGTATTAGACCCGTCGTCCATTTATTTGTAAGTCAATGACGAAAAACGTTAATTTTGTCTCAAATACGTTTAATTTACTTCAATAATCAGGGGCCATTTACACTACCATACCATAGATTTTTTAAATACACGTTTTAAACCACGTAAAGAGTACATTTTGAATATCAACTGGAAACTTATTATAATCTAGAAGCGTATACGCCTTTGTAACCTATGTGTACAAAGACATGAATTTGACAATGACACTTGTGTTATATGACTCATCACAATTGTCCTTAAAGAGACCAATGCAATTGCATTACATCTACAAGTATTTTGTAGTTTTTCATATAATATCAAATGACTGGGCAAACAAGTTGTGAGCGTGAAGGTAAGTGACATGCCTGTCCATGACAGTTGCAGTGCCGCGCAGATCTTTAAATCACAAAGATAATACAGGTCACTGTCAATGCGCCCAGACATAAGTTGACCAGTCCCATGTCCCTGTAATTTCACCTGTACTCTTATCCTTCAAAATAGGAACGTGGTTAAAGCTCATATTACTGCTTGGCAACAAAAATAAGCAAGATGACTAGTTGCCACATTGGAATTGCAAGCAACTGCAGAGAACATTCAAACACTACCACCACCCAGTAGTATTCGAAGAATGGATATCATCAAAAGACGAGCCTGCTCTGTACTAAAACAAACATAGATGACTTTAACAGGAAGTCAGTTCTGCAATAGTTTACCCCTTACAGCACAGGATGATACGATCGTGCGTTCAAGTTTGAAAAAATTTAGGGATAAAGTAATCAAGTTTACTGTTTCGGTCAACACCGATTGTTTGAGATCGATCAATATTAGCTGTTAATGTGTTCTAGGGTTACACACCTGTGCCAAGTGTGACCGTGTACGTGACGGACGGGAGGTCGAAAAGCAAGTTTTTTTAAATTTCATCATTTCATGTTTTCTGACCTATATATTATATAATTTACATACAAAGAATAATTAAACAGTGAAATTCATTGTTTGAAATTGTGGTTTGTATTCAGTCATAAAGTCATAAAACACGATCGTGCTTGTCAGGATGGAAATGACTAGATTAGTTTTATTTTTACTTAATTTTCTTTTTGGATTCAAGACATTAACATGCGATTTGGTTACTCAAATCATCGGAAACGTTGACTAATCGGAGTTAGGTGAATATGACCTTGAACATTGTGAACAGGAGATAGAAAGTGATAGTGATTCTTCATTGTCACGTTCTAGTTTCTCTATCAGCTCAGAAGAAATCGAACCTAAACCTGGATTGCTCTAGTCGTCGTGGTAGTCATCGCAGTTGTGGTAGGAGGTCGACATTCGCAGTTGTGGTAGGAGGTCGACATTCGCAGCCGTATATCTAATAAAGTCGTATTTGTAACCAGAAAGTCAATCAGTGGATACTCTCACCAGCCCAGACCAGCCCCATATTTTTCTACGTTAGTTTTGATTATAGTGACCTTCCCTACCGACAAGGGCACTATAACCTGTGGAATGGAAAAGAACATTATAAGTTCAGGTTCTGACCCCAGATCAGCCTGTACAGGGTTGTCACAGACCTCTGTCACTTGACTTCATCCGGTTGTTCGAGAGGCTAGTGCCTCGGGTGAGCCGCCACGGGTGCACATACAATATTTTCCAGATATTTCCTCCCTATTTTCCAGATAGGTAACGGAGCTGTAGGCACGCTCACTTCCCGACGCTGAAAAACGACGTCTCTCCAGTTTATAATAACCTAAGAGACTGAAGGGACCGGAGGGCATCCAGCTTATCCTCTGCTAGCTGACCACAATCCCCAGCGAATCGATACCCAAGTCCGGGGCCACCAGTGACGCCGCAAAGGCGTATCACTAGCAGAGGAACCAGCCCAGACCCGTCGTTTTTCAGAGGGTTCCGAATTCTCCACAGTCACTTCTATCATCCAGTCTTGGTCGATCTTCTAACAGTCCCCGTTCAAGTAACTCTGATGCTCACCAAAGTCGTGGTCAATCATCATCTATTCGAAGCCATACTTCTGTTCGGGAACGGTCACGATCAGAAAGGCGAAGTCGTTCGGCTGACGCACCGTCACCACATAGATCAAGGAAGTGGAGGCAAATGTCATATGATGGTAGGGATCAATTGTGGTCTCTCATCTCGGCCTACAACTGGAACTTGCCGCCCACCCTCTGATTATTTTCGTGAGTATTTTGACGAAGAATCGACGAAAAAGATCTCGATTAGTTAGTATTTTGCGTTAATTAATAATAAAATCATATTTTGTTATATTTAATGTGAAACATGTGAAACTGTGAAAAAATGAAAATGAAAATGTGAAACTTCTAGTTTCATTAATATAGTTGATTTTGTTGCTTTACAAGTCGCCTTTAATTAAAAATTTTTATTAAGTCATAACAAAAAACCACTAACGCTTTGGTAAGGTTAATGACGGGTTGCCATGATTGTGCGGGGGGGTTTTTGCAAGGGTTTTGGAAGAGGAGATATTTTTTGTATTTTTTTGTTTTTACTAACGGCATAAATGCTTAAAAAAATGCAACATCAAATCTTATCACATAAAATAATTTTGTCATGCTGAAAGGGTTATACCAATTAAAACCAAAGATTATGTTGACTCACCTACAGAAATAACCATGATGTAAACAATGAAAATTACTTAAGAATTTTTTCACACAAAAAAGAACACACACACAAATTTATTTGCAATTACTATTTCGACCCCTCCTACATAAAGCATTGTATGTCAAAATTGCCAAGTCTACAGGGGAGCGCTTTAAATAAGCATAACACGTAACTTTAGCATTTCTAAGTTTTAATCAACCAAACTTGTTACACACATAATGATCATCTAACCGATATATAGGATTTTATAATACTCTGTGTAACAAGCTTTGCCGAATAAAACTGAGAGATGCTAAAGTCACATGTTATGCTCTTTTCAGTGAATTCAGAACTTGAAGGCGCTCGGCAATTTCGACATTGATACTTTATGTAGGAGGGGTCGATTTATTCTAGTCAAAAAGAAGGGAGTTATATGTCCTTAACATCATAGCTCAAAATGAATGGCATAATAGCACTAGAGGTCGTTGTGAAAGAGTTCATCCAGGGAAGTACTGCCAAATAACCAGTTTCTACTGTCAAGCAGTAATGTAACAATATTGCGCAATGGTTTTGATGGGTAAGGTGGCATTGCAACCAGGCGTGCAACTTGTTTGTCCTGTCACTAAACTAACGTATCATAAAAAAATGTGTATTCTTTGAATTAACACAAGCCTCGGAAAACAAGTGATATACAAACTGGGTCAGCACGGCAGACTGTGACCAAAACCAAGGGATGATGATGGTGTGATGAAAACCTTGCTCACTGCTACCACACACTCAGCAGATTGGTTAGACGCTGAAGGTGACAATTTTCTTAACAGTGAAGTGATGAAGAAAGCATACACCAAACTATTGGTTAGGAATGGCAAAAGAACAAAGAATAGTACAATATCTAGCCTATAACATTCCACTACCATCCATGGATTACCCAAAAGCTATAATATATTCTTATATATATAATATTCTTGCCATTTAGCTACAGGTGCCTGCACCTGCCAACCTATCAAAGGTACATAGTGAAGAAAAACTGGGACATGTTGCAACAAGTTTCTGGATAAATTTGGTAAAAATAATAATAAATGGTGACCTCAGCAGAAAGTTGATTGAAAATAATAACAAATACAGTCTCTACTATAAACAATACTTACTAGTTAGAGGGGCAAACGTGAGTAATACTCGCTAAATAATATAAATAAAAATCTATACAAAGCGGCCATCTTGAATTGTGCATTTTGCACTGCAATAAAGTGCAATCTTTAAATAAACTTAAAATACTCACGTCTGTCGAAGTTAAATACGGTTTCTTCGTTTCCAACGTCGTTTTCGAGATAAAATTAAACACGGGAAATAAAAAATAACAAAAATTCAGGTCGAGAACAGAGAGCACTTTATATTTGTCCAAAAGATCGCCTTAAACCATTGTTTGATCACTGTATTGTGATGATATAATTAATTTTTATTATACTGCACTGCACTATTTACACAATTTACAGCAAATATTTACAGTTTTTTCAATAAATTTGCACGCAATAAAAATACGCACTTCCTCTTTCTTCTGACATTTTTGTTTCGTAACATTCCGCTCTACGGAATCAAATGCCAAAACGTGACTAGAGAAACCTGAATTTGAAATGCTGAGTATCTCTTTTTATTGTAAAAATGAAGCATGATTTCGGAAATAAATGAAGAAAGGTTGCCACAACAATTTGATAATTTTAATTCAAAATTTGATGTTAATATCATCAGTAATATTTTAACGGTCCGATGTAATTGCTGCATAAAACGAAATGTAAAAATAAGAACATGACTTTTATCGAAGATGAGGCAATGATATTATTCACTTACTGCCTCCATAGACAACGTATGTAGCAAGAATGTATATAGTAACACTGACTAAAAAAATGTTGTCAATTTGTGTAGAATTCCCCAACTTGCGAGGATTATAACATTTCATAATTTTGTTTAATCTATCGATTGCAATGCATCGCTAGTTTAATGGTTACTGATAAAGACGCCATGATGAACGATATCAAATTTTTTGTCAATATTGTACATCGCTCGCTTATAATGAATTTTTTTATGAAGATACACAAAAGCAGTTATTGCTAAATAAAGTTGAGCTATTGGTAGTTCCACACCCCAACTTCTCACCCGTCAACTTTAAATATTAAATAAAATTTAGGTCTAAACTTAATTTACTCATTGACGATTATTTTTAATCTTAGCATAGTGTCACCAAATGCGCATTGCTAATTTTAAGGCTTTAGAAAAATTATGTATATAATTTGAAGACTGAAGATGAATGTTTAAACCATTAAAAATAAACGATTTTAAGGTCATCTAATTTTATCATTTGCTTTACATTGTATATTTTGTGTGTAGAGATGGCAAGCGTCCGAGTTTTAACCCGGCGCAGGCAGAGGCAGAAATGGATTACAACCCGATGCGTTGGGAAAAAACCCATTTAAAACCTGATTGATTGGGGTTAAGCCCACTGCTCTCTCTAGTATAGTGTACAGTTAAGAGCACGTCAAGCTTTGTACTTTGGACCGTTCTTATCATAAGCGGCATATAGTTGAATTTAAATGTGGCAAGATTGACGTGTTCTTCACAAACTACTAAGTGTCCGTGACCCTGTACCATTCATGCTTGATTCATGATTCATTCACAGATGGTTATATTTTGTTGATTTTTGGGGATTCGAATAATTTGTATTGGCAACTCTGAACCGGAACCATAAGCAAAACAAAATCACCAAAAGCCATTTTTCGTCGCCATTTTGTTGGCCGCGTTCTGTTGAGAAATTTTTAACGAAATATCTCGAATTTGTTTCGGTTATATTGGTTTATGTATTGTTTCTAAAATGTCTAAGCGAAGGATTGAAGTGTTGGATCCATTTATTAAGAAAAAACGGTTTGTATATCGCAGTTTTGTTATTTGTTGCTTGTGCCATGCTCTCAAAACGTCTCTTCGTAATTTTCTTTGTTGTTAGATGCAATTTTTGTTTTAAATCTAAGCTAAATTGCTACAAAAAATTACTTCCTATTTTCTGTAGAATATTCACTATCTCCTAAACTTATGTGTAATTGTTGTACGTATTTCTTTTGCCTTGGAAATAACGATTTTTTTACTGTGTCCTATGAGTATCAACCGGCATTAAACCACATAGTGAAAATGTCCTTTCAAGCTTTCAAGCACTATAAATTACGTGTTCTGGTGTCATCGGCTTGTGAAACTGAAAAACAAAACACTAAAATAAATTATATCCGCACAAAATGACGTAGTAGGTAGTGTGGCTCAACCGAAACAAACGACGTTTGCGGTGTCTCCGTGATTAACTTCGTTAGGAGTTGACTTTTTCTATACAATTAGTTGGTTCGGTGTGGAATTTGTAAACAGTTAAGACCATACAAGTGTTGCGTCTTTTTAAAGTCGCTCCCAAGTTTCTCCTGTAGGGCTAGCACGACAGGGCGCGACTTCGTCATTGAGCGCGAAATACTGCAATTCCTGTATAGAGAGATTTATGTCGCTCTCCCGGAAGTCTACTGTTGTGCTAACCTTACTGATGGAGCTACGCGTTACACCATTGTTGTTGATGTTGACACAGGACATTACTGGAAATTGTGGTTGCTATGTTGGGTAATGGCAATCTCTCTCGCGCTTGAATGACAACCTACTAATTTTCCTATTCAAATGATTTGAATGATCATTCATTAAAAAATTTTTATTAAATTGATATTCAATTATTTTTATGTGAAATTACTCCACTAGTTTGCTATAATTATTAATACAAAGATCGAACACTCTGAAAAAATTTCTTCAATCCGGGATTTGAACCGACGGCTTCTATCATACCGTGCCAGACGCTATAACAACTAAGTCACGGAACGATCCAGCGCACCTCACGAATTTTTCTATGTGCTTGCATTGTATTTTTCAAGAACTTTTTAACCATAGCGCCATCTATGAATAATATTTAATATTTTAGTCACCCAGTTAGGTACCTAAACAGCTACCAGCCCCGGCTAGAGATGTCGCTATTTGTTGTATTTAAAAAATGTTATTGAATTGATATTCAATTATATTAATGTGAAATTACTCCACTAGTTTGTTATAATTATTAATACAAAGATTGAACATTCAAAAGAAATTTTTCTATTAAAAAAAAAAAAAAAAAAATGACCATTCATTACTGAATCATAGATTCCATAGAGCATTTCTGACTCTTGTACTGTCTGTGTTGGTTTTTTCCACCTTTTGATTCACTTTTTAGGCTCGTATTCTAGAACTCTACTCAATGCTCAAGTCAGGATTTGAGTATGGTTTAAAGCACTTGAAATCATACTCAAGTCCCTGCCATTAGGGTCGTAGTTCCAGTGCTTGTGTTTCCAGTGCAATCCTGACTTGAGAATTGATTAGAGTTCTAGAATACGACCCTTAATCTCTTTGTATTGTAATATCAATATTAATTCTTTTGAAAAAATTAGTTGATATTGCATTCTGCTACTATGTGTCTAAGAAAATTATAAATTGTGATATAAATGTGATAACCTAGCCCTCTCTGACATTTAGCTTCTTGGAGAACCATTAACATTTTCAGACAGTTGTGTAATTTGGAGTTGTGGTGTGGGTGCAGCAATTAATGCCCTGAGAATGTTATTTTGCTCTCTTTACTGGAAAATGTATTGTTATTTTAAACATTGCAAATTGCATTTACAGAGAGGAGAAGGCAGCTGCGGCTGCAAAATCTGGCGGCAGCGGAGAGTCTAGCCAGACTGCTACTTTAGGGTATACCATGCCACCCACTACGACAAGCACACCGGGGATTAATGCTTTTACAGGTAACTTTAGTTTTTGGTCAAAAGTAATATTAGGAGATCATTAAATGAGGCTGTAAAACCAGAAAGACAATGGCCACTAAACTATAATAATAAATAAAATAATCTTTATTTCACAGGTAAGTAAATTGCACTTGAAATGGTCATACTGGTTAAACTCTACTGCTCATTTGTAAGAGAGATTCCTCTGATTGTACAATTTTTTGTTTATTAACCTATATTCTACTGACAATTCTATTACATCGACAATTATTATATTCATAAATTAACCAGCTTGATCTCTCTGGCTCTGTCTCTTGTCAGCCTAGTCCAGAGGTACAGCTATTTTTTTAAAGTCATCGGACTGTCTTTTAAAGGGACAACCTCTTTTCCTTTTGACATTTTCTCTTGGTAACCATTGTGTTACCTTTCTGGTCGACTTTTCTACTCTTTCTCTGTACATGTGGCTAGTTTACTTCCACTTTACTGTTTTGCTGTTTGTGGTGACATCCTCCAATTGTAGTACTCCTTCGTATGTCTGTAGCTTTCTTTTTGTTTCTTAGAGAGAGTCCCAGCATACTTTACTAAACCTGTATAATAATAGTGTAACT